AAATCAGAGACATGACATCAGCCAAGTAAAATAAAAAGTAGACAATTAGGGTAATGGATTTCAACTATTGGATGTCCTTATTGACCATAAAAAGTGTCATATTTGTCAGCTTCTACTCAATACAGTTATGCAACATTGATTCATATATTATTTCTGATACTCAGGGCTATTCTGGGTCTCTTTCCACTATAGTTCTTAACCTGCACACAAGTTAAAAACTACAGTAGAAAAAGAGTCAGTCTCTGTCATTTCTACAGTTTTCCATCCATCCATCCACTTTGGTCCATCTGGGGTCTTAAATGTGCTTCATAAACATGTTGACTGACTTATTTCTCACTCATTCTAGATCTCAGGTGGTAAACTCTGGTTCTCAAGGGCCCATATCCTGCAACTTTGAGACATGGTTCTACTTCAACGCGCTTTAATTGAATAATTAGGAATGAGAAAATGCTGACAAAATACAGAATCGGGTAAGACTGCTAGACAATGGGATCTCAGAGGACAAGTGTGTAAGGATTTGGTTTTTCTCTAAGTTAGGTTTTTGTGTCGTTTTCAGTTTATTGAGTCTCAGTGTTGTCTTGTCTACCCCTTGATTGTTCCCAGCTGTGTCTCGTTCCCTGATTACCTTCTGTGTATTTAATGCCACCTTGTGATCCATGTTCTTTGGGGCCTTGTCTATCTGTCTTGTCATATGGTCTGATTTATGCCTGTTCCTTTGTGTTTCCAGTTTGCTACCAGTTGTTGAGCCTTAGCCTTCCGCTTTCTCGGTGCTGCCTGGATTATTTGAACTTTGTATTTCTGGATTCGACATTAAATCATCATTTCATTCCCTAAGGCCTGAGTGTGCTGCTTCTGCCTCACCTCATTCCACCGCAAATCTTGACAAAGTGTTAAATATAAGCAAATACTAAACACTAGAACACTTATAGCATTGGTTAACTGGCAATGCACTTCCCCTTTAAGATATTAATGAATACACTGAGTTCATTTATGATCCCACTTATTCTCAATTTAAAATCTTTACTAATTACATGTATCATTTCCTGTTGATGTCAACGTTGATTCATAATACTTGTGTCTGTTTGTGGAGACATACCAACAGACTTTTCTCTCTAATGCTGAAATGAAAGCTGAGACTAGACCAGAAAGCATCACATTTAAAAGTTGACTTTTCTCTTTGCCTCTTGAATTTCTCTCCATGTGAAAGTCGGCCGTTTTCATATCAGACTCATAGGATTTACAATCCTTGTTCCTCCTGGAGAAGTGAAACGGGACAGAGCTTTGACCCAGACGGATCTACCCCAATGAGCTGTTTTACAGTGACGGAAAATCCAACATGGGATGTCTGAAAAAGGAAAACCTCGACCGTCTGGACACTAGCAATTTTCCTTTCTCAAGCGGCTGCCGTGATCATTTTACTCATTCATCATTTGAGTTGCATAAGTGCTCTATAACTGCGGAGGAGTTTCCATCTGGTAGACTCGGCTGTTGCGAGGTTCTCCCCAACATTTCGAGCTCCGGCCCCTGTGGTTTACACGCTCACTGCAGCAGCCCTGTTCGGTGCTCCGTCTTACGCAGGCTCCCTTCGCTCAGACTAATCCATGTCTCAGTCTAACACAGATCCTCTGATTGCTTCCTTCAGTTCACACACTTCCTCACAGAAAAACCTGGGACTGAGAAAACAGACGTAAACTCAGGATCAGCCGCTGTGGTTAAAGCTGTGACAAAACAGATGCGGAGATTACTTCCAGTTCTGCTTGTGCAGCTGAGGCTGGGCTACACATGTTAGTGAGCCATTGTTTAGATGCTTTTCTAGAATAGTCTGTTCTGGAAGCTGGATATAAAACTAAAGCCACACCAATATGTGATAACCTTCCCATCAAAATAACAGAAACAAAACAGAAATGGAGCTGTTCATCTGTAGACACATGCAATGCCTTTCAAAATGAGATAGATAGATAGATAGATAGATAGATAGATAGATAGATAGATAGATAGATAGATAGATAGATAGATAGACATCAATAACGTTCTCTTGTGGCCTTCAAAGAATAATAATAGTTGCATTTATACAGAGATATTAATCACGCAAAAGTTCACTTTGTTTATTAATTTGATGACTTATGAAAAAAAAAAGATTTTATTTTGGGGTATCAAAGTAAAAGGGGGCTGCATACAATGTACACAATATTGCAGAATTTCATTTGTAAACGTGCAATATTCTTTCAATTTCAGAATAATGTGTTGCTCTGGATTCTATGTACCTGATTAGGTGGAGAATGAAAAGAAATGTCACGTTAGGTGTGTTTGTTTGCAGCACTAATGCAGCTACATTTTTCATCAAATGAAAAAGATGCGGGCAAAACCTCCAGCTCAATCGGAAATGCCTTCATTCCCATTGAAAATCGGATTATACAACATTTTCTATGTGTCCTCTTCCTGGCTGGGGTCAGATCTTGTTCAGATTTTATTCCAGTCCAATTATTAAGATGATTTCCAACACAGTCATGGAAAAAAACATAAGTTTTTCCTTGAATGGAAACAATCCAAAGCTTGTTGCTCAGACTTTGCCTTTATTCAACAATTCAGTTTTGTTTGGACTTTTACATTCACAAAAGGAAGAAGAAGAAAAAAGAAGGAAAAGAACTAAAACTTTGTGATGATTTTATATCGTACGTTCCGTAATCAAACTTCTTTTTTATTCTCTTTCCTTCAGTGTCCTAACAGTAATTTCTTCATCTCCTACAATGAAGTTCTTGTGTGCTACTGTCTGAGAGAAGCCGCAGAAATGCCTTGGCGCGGGAGCAGGAGACGTCATGGATTCCTGAGTGTGGGGCTTTGCAGGAAAGCCCTGAGTCTCGGACATGGACCGGCTCCAGGTTTCCATGGCAAACGCGCACAAACAGGAGGAAACACTGAGGGAATCCCGTTATTTTACAGCATGGGAGCATTATAAACACCCAGAGCGAGGAAGGAAGCCGCTCTCGATGCTTAAGTAATCCTCACAGAGCTCGAGGAAAGGGGGGACCTCAGAGCAGAACCGCTGCTGAAGCCGAGGCGGACGCACGCTCTTTAACTCTGAAAGGGAGTTTTGCGCCGCTTTTTCAAGTTTTTAAACAACAAACGAAGATTTTTCTTTTCTTCTTTCTCTCCTCGCAACATCTAACCGAAGAACGTCTTCTGTGCTATGCTTTTTCAAGGAGAGTAATTTTTTTAACTGCTTATATATACTTTTTTAGTATTTTTCCTTTTTTTCCGCTTTCTTCTCCAGATGTTTAGAGAGAATTGGAGGCTGGCGCAGTACCACATGATGAGGTCCATGGATCAAGGTACTGCTGAAGTGTTGTGATTATCTGGTAATCAATCAATTTGATTTTTTTTATTGTAAATGCAGCTTAGCATGACTGAAGTGATGAACTGGAATTTGTTTTGTATGAACAGTTTATGGCTTAAAGACATATTTTCTGCTTTTAACTAACTTTGGAGATAAGTTTCGCTTTGAATTGTTCTTGTTTTTGCACAAAATACTTCAAAATAAACCAAAATCAAAATAAATGAGAATATTAAATATGAGTATGTTCACAGATAGGAGTTATTGCTGACAGAGCACATACCTCTGCAGCCATGGGTGTAAGGGGTGTAGCTGCATGTTGTTGCGTCGTGCGTAAATCCGGGGATACCCCGAGGAGAACCCGAGGTTCTCCTCTGTCAGCAAGGAGCGTCTGACTAGGAAATCCAATCCAGACGAAGACATTAATGTTTGGAAAAGTTAAGAAACTGAAAAGTTTTAAGGTTACGACTATATTTGTGGGTTGTAATACCCTTACAGATGCCTTTTTAGTTTTGCAACAGGTGAATGACACGCGATAAGCTCCGCTGATTGCCGCTGCAACCCGTCAGACACCCGGGGGCAGCACCAGGCCGTGCGTCAAACGGCGCAGATCGCTCCTCTGGTGACCAGAGGTGTTAATTCGCTTCCTGGTGTTCTGTGTCGAGCAGAGTTCAATCGTTCAACCTTTTCCCCACCAGCCTGACTCTGCCGTCAAAGTCCTTGCGCATCTAGACAATGTTTTATGACTCCACGCAGTGAAGGCATGGTGCATTCAAGTACACCTTGCACATAATCAGTTCAAAAATAGTTCTAAAATGGTTTGACCAAATCTCAAAGAGGTCTCAAGCAAGCTTTTTAACATTCTTGGTCTTTTTCAGGTGGTTTTACTGCTGTAGATTGGCTTAATAAAATAAAATCTGAAACATCAATCAGTTCTATGCTTTTAAAACATATTTTTTTAAGAATTGCTTTTTGCTCTAAAAGTAAAATGTGAAAATGAAATCAGAGTTATCAGAAAATTCCCAATTAAGAAATCCTATGTAAATATTAAATGAAAGCACATATAAATTGGGCAAGCCAATGTTTTTGTTGCATTTCTGTTTAAAAGTGTGAAGATTTATGTGGCTCTATTTTGGCACAGTTATCATGTCAACAAAGCTTAAGTTTTATTTAGGAAGAAAAAATATCATGACATAAGAAGTAAATCAGCAGATTACATTACAATTTCAGTAATATTCAGTTTTTTTTGTTTCAGGCACAAAATATATTAGGGTAGATGTCCATTCTAAATCAATAAACCAACACTATTGGCAGCAATAGTTGGTCAAGCTCAAATCTTTGTTTTAAAATTTTGCTTAAAGCAGTGTAGATTACAAACATGTTAAGAGTTATTATACGGTATTTCAAGTCTAATTGATTTTAAACAGTGACCTGAATAGACAGTATGACCGCTGTTTTAGTTTATTTAATAAAACTCATACCAATGGGCTCTCATATGAGAACCCATTGGTATGAGGAACACATTCTGCCAGGAACCTATGAGTGCAGAAGCCCTCTGATAGAATACAAAGAGCTCTGCTAGTAAATTAAATACAATTTAATTGCACTCCAAAATAAACAGGAAGTCATATGTCAAAACTTGTGGGAATTTAGTTGGAAGCCTGGCAGCAGCATTTGGATCAAAATGTAAGTTTTACTTCAACATGTGCATTGTAATAACCCAATAGTGGAGAAAAACAAAAGTATGAATAATTATTTCCAGCTTCCTGCTTGAGATAGTAGAGCTTAGTTTGGTAATATTTTTCAAGAACGAATCAGAGACTCGAAATCTGCCTTTATAATAAGATTAGAACAAGATATATATCACATATTATAGCCAAGAGTGTTACGTAAGATGTGCTGAATTAATTCAATTCTATTGTATCATTTGAAACGATGTTTCATCATTTTCAAGGCGTTTTAATGTAGAGTCCCCCAATGTCCGGCTTATTTTGAATGCACCATCTCTTTAAATTCTGCCGTAAATTACAGAGTAGACGCGCATTTCGACAGGGAGGTTGGAAGTCGGCGCGACACAACACCTGTTTGCACTTTTGCTCTTTGCTGCTCGACGCATCTTCTGAGGCGGGGGTGGCGTGATAGGGGCCGTGGTGATGCACTGAAACTTAAAAAAAACAACAACAACTCACACTCTGTTGCTCAGTTCGTAAATAGACCCGCCTTCCTTCTGAAAATAACCGCGGAGAACTGAAACAGGAAACTTGTGCGCTGCTTCACCTTCTTCCAGCTCACCCGATGCGGGATTTGACGCTCAAACACCGAACTGGCATAAGCCGCGCACATCCCTAGCTCTGCTCCCGGAGGAGTCGGTAGATAATAAAAAAAAAAAAAAAAAAAAAAATCAGACAGATGACCTCCTTCTACGACGAAAAGGATCTGGAGGAAGACCTCAGTCGAGCCAGTTACCCTGATGAGGATTTGCAGTTTGAGTACTTGTTTGAATATGAGCCGCCTTGCAGCGACTTTGCAGGAGGAGATCAAGGTTTGTCCGATGGTTTTGTTGACCTGAACTGACCTCTGCTTCTTCTGGGTTTGTTTTGCTTGAAGCTGATTACCATATGGCCTGACAAGTCTGTTCATTAGAATATAAAAATAGACCAGGAAGCAAATTTGACACGCTTGTTGTTGATGTGGGATCAGATAAGAAGCCATGTGAGAGAAAATGCCAGAAAGTTCTCGTGCTTTCAGCTACTAAGTACACATTCATGTATTTACTTGGAGTTGGAGAGGAAGAAATATTGTATTTTTTGGTTTTTCAGAAAAATAGTATGTTTTGGAAAATATATAGTATTTGGAAAACATGAAATTACATCTTCCTCACGGCTTTTTTTTTCTCCATCACTATAGTCCCATCACGCTTCCTGACATTTAGCATCTTATTCACAAAGATTAAGTATCAGCTGGCCAAATTTACAGTTAGCTAGCAGAGTCTGAATGCACACATTAAATGTATTAGTTACCGTAGACGGCATGAGGCAGGCCAATACATCGAGATATTACTCATTTAGGCAGCAACTAACGATTCTTTTAGGAACCGATTATTAATCGGATAAAAAAACGGGCACAACTGCAGATTTTTCATTTAATTGCTTAAGCTTATTCTGTACAATATTAGTAAAAATACAACTAAAGAAATATTTAAATTATTTTTTAAAATAAGAAGGTAAACATTTTATATCCTAAAAGGCAATAACTCAGCATTCCTTTAGTGTATGCTTGATCATTTGAAGCAAGCTACAGCTAAAATATTTTTTGGATTAACTGCTTAATAATTTGATAGGAAAAGGTGTTTAATGGGTGATTTAAAAAAAATTAAGCAGGTGAAGCTAAATCTATGCCACTTGCATTTTGCATTTATCTTATCTGCATAATGTATATATTTTTTATACTTTTAAATAATTTTGGATTAATTACTGCTCTGAGCTGTTGTTCTTTGAGCAATTAACTTTTTATTGAGTCTGTAATATGTGTAGTTGACAATTTCAAGAATTGATTAATCATCATAAATTGTTTCAACCTTGTTGCACATTTTAATAATGCAGTGAAGATTAAGATTCAATAAATTGTACAGCTCTAATCTGATATTTGTTTCTGCATGTTCTTAATATCTTGTGATCCTTTTTTCTCCAGATGACCCTGGCCTTGCCACTCACAAGGTGCTCAGTTCTGAATCTGAGCAGGTTTTCCCTTTGGATGAGCAGTACAGGATCAAGTCCTGCAACTCCCCCTACTCCAACCTCAACCCCGAAGTTCTCTCAGGGTACGAAAACCAGGAGGCCAGAAACTACCTGGACAACACCCGGCCGCCAGGTCTGGCCCTGAGCCCCCGGATTGAGATCACCCCGTCCCGAGAGCATTACAGTCATGGCCGGGACTCGCTGCCAAACCAGCACCTGAACCTCAGCCCTAGACCCACCCTCACTGTGCCCGGCCATGAGAACCTCGCCTACCGTGAGCCCCAGTGCCTGAGTCCCGCCAGCAGCAACTCCTCCACCAGCTGGCACTCTGAGAGCTACTCGCCCTGGGCGTCCCCCTGTGTTTCACCCAGTAGTGGCCCAAATCCAGCAGATCTCTGCCCCCGCATGCAGAACATCCACACCGGTTCCCCACGCACCTCCCCGGGTACCTCCCCTCACACCAGCCTCGGAGAAGACGGCGGCCTGGGAGCACGCTCGCCCTCGCCCCGGCCACGCTCCACCTCCCCGCAGGGCAAGCGCACCTACGAAATGTACCGGAATCCAGGGCTGATGCCTGGGCAGCGGTCCCGCAGTCCGTCCCCGCACAGCGGCCAGGAGGACCCCAACACGGGCGCTCATTTCACACACGCCGGCCTTGTTGAGGGTGTGAATGGATTTGGCAGCAGTCAGCCAGGCATGGTGCCCACCAAAATAGTCAAGACCTCCAACCAACTTTACGCTTTAATCCCAGAGAATCACGGAGATGGGAACTACTTGGTGTCCTGTGATCAGGACATTAAAACCAAACCTGCTGCAGAGCCTTTCTATGTCATCCCACCAATCTGGCCCAAGCCGCTGGTTCCCAATCTCTGCAAGTAAGTTGGTGGAAAACCAGGAACTTTTGAAGCTCATGTCTTTCAACATGAATAATTAATCATCTTTGTCCATTTGCAGCCTCCCATTGGCTACAGCACCACCACTAGAGTGGCCCCTTCCCAGTCGCACAGACCAGTATGAGCTCCACATTGAGGTGCAGCCCAAGCCGCACCACAGGGCTCACTATGAGACGGAGGGAAGCAGAGGCGCAGTTAAAGCCCCCACAGGAGGACATCCAGTGGTGCAGGTATGTCCCAAAGCTTGAGTACACCAATACAACACCATTAAGCAGAAAATGTTCATAGTGAAAGTTTTTTTATTTTATTTTTATTTTGCTTTATCCTGTAATTTAAAAATCAAACAGTTCTTTGAGCAAAGCCTTATCATGGAGACCAAGCAGACAAGTCAGGGAGAAAGTTTACACCGGGGTCAGGTTTTAAAGAAGTATCCCAAGCTTTGAATATCTTGTATATCGCTATTAATTCTTCCGTCTGAAAGTGAAAACCAATGCAAACATACCAAGACATTGGGTGTGTCCAAATTCAAGGCCTTTCGTTAACCAGGAGTTTGAAATTTGACTGTCTAGCCTTCAGATTTATTCCTGCCCATACCCCAATGTATGTCCTGTTGCCTAGCAACAACGGCGGTGTTAAATACAAGGTGGTAAAAATGGATCTTGAAATCTTGCTGAGTGTTTTTATGGCTGGTTTAATCTTTTTAATTATAGAGGCGATATTATGTATTTTCCAGGCACATAGTCCCATTCTGTAGCACAATCAACTACCATCAAGTTACCTCCAGTTCTTATAAAAATGCTGTTTGCATCCAAAAAAATTTAAAGCAAATTTGACTTTGTAAGGTAACACCTTGAAATTGGCTTCTGTCTCTTTAAGAAGCTTCATCTTTTATAGACGCTCTTTGACTTTTTCCGTTTTGTTGAGAAGAAGTTTGTATGATAAGCTCAGCAGATTTGCAGTTCCACCAGGTGTTTGCAACTTGCTGCTGCCGCTAGTCTGGAGGAGCTCTGTGATCTGTGGGACAGAAGTTTGGTTTGAGGACTGCAGCTCAGAGGATGGGCTTTGTGGAAGTGGGCGGAGCTTTGTGAAAGCAAGCGTGGAAACTCCTCCCCAAAATGGTTGCCATGGGAGACTCGAAGATTTCTTAAACATGCATCAAAGAATCAAAGCAACACTCCCTTTTTATTCTTAAAGCACGGATAATTTTACATAATACCCCTGCAACCTTTAATTAAATTAATTAATTGATTATTTAAAAAAAAATAATATTAAATAACACTTGGGATAGGGTTGGCAGCAAAGGACACACCAGACCCGACTTCCAGGTCTGTGTGTTTGTGGAGGACCCTTCGAATTTGGAAAGCCATCCTCGCCGTGGCGTACCGAGTCTCAAATATGACCGTCGAAGGATGCAGCCCCTGAATTTGTACACAACCATGGCAACCTAAACTGGCAGCCTGGACAAGGAGAGCATTTATCAGAGAAGAAGCCAAGAGACTCACAGTCTCTCTGGAAGAGCTGCAGAGCTCCATCCCAGGGGGAAGAGTTTGTTGACTTTACCTTCATTAGTCATGCACTCCACAAGGTTGGCCACCATGCAAGAGTGGCAAGATTGTTGAATTGTTGAAAGAAAGCCATAAAAGTTTCTGTTCCCTGCAGTTTACCATTAGTAGGGGATACAGCAAACATGTGGAAGAAGGTGTTCTGTTCCGATGTGAGCAAAATTAAACTTAATGACCTGTGCAGGAAAATTACCAGTGCACGTCACCTTGAGCACATGAGCCCCGACATTAAACATGGTGGCATTATTATGCTGTGATGATGCCTGTATGCAGCATGAAGACTTCAAAGGACGTTCACCTTCCAGCAGGATAATTATCCTAAAACCTACAGCCAGAGCTGAAATGCAATTACCTAAACCAAAGCTTATTTATGTGTTAAACTGGCCTAGTCAAAGACCAGACAAGAAATCTTATTGTTTACGGTTGTTTTTTATTCAGTCTGACTAAGCTTGAGCTATTTTAAATGAAGAACAGGCAAAAGTTTCAGTCTGTAAATGTTCAAAGCTGGTAGAGACATAAACTCTAAAAGATGTGCTGCTTTAACCGCAGCTAGAGGGTTCTACCAAGTGTCAGATCAGGAGGGCAGAGTATAAATGCAAAAACATTTTAATGTTTCCCTCCACTTTGCGGCTATGTGCTACTCCTTGGTTGAAAATCTAAAAGAATTAACTAAAGCTTCTGTTTCTAACCTGCTAAATTCTGAACAGATTTAAAGGAGTTTAATCTTTTTTCAATGTTTTCAAGTTGCACAACTCTTTAATTCAGTGTGTTGTTACTTCCTACTTCATGATGTGGTGTGTGTGTGTGTGTGTGTGTGTGTGTGTGTGTGTGTTTATTGAAATGTATGACCAATGTGCGACTCAGGCAGCGTTACTGTGACGACTCGTTATGCATCAGTGTCGCCCAGCTGTATGAAAACACAAGATGCCATTTCTCACTTCCTTAAACAAATCATAAATGGACGGTCCAACCTCAGATACACAGTAAGACACATAGTAACCAACTCAGGACAACCCTGAAGACTGAACCAAGACTGTTTCTCGCTGACCTGATTTCTCTTTTTTTTTTTTTTTCTACTTTCCAGCCTAAAATAGCCGTCTGTGTTGCATCCTCGTCTCATGGTTTTAACCACACGCACGGATCTGTGTTGATGTAGTTCTGAGTTCCTCTTCCACACTGTTTCGTTTACTGTGCAGCTCTTGTATTAGGAAGCAAAGTTGAGGTACTGGAAAGCTGTCAAGGCATGAGAAAATAAAAAAAAAAGAAGAAAAAAATACAGAAACAGTTCCTGTCGTTAGGGTAATTGCAGTTCAAGAGGAAAGAAAAAGTTTTCTTAATGTCGGTCACGGTCCTAATGCTGAAGGAAAACACAAATTGGTTGTGGCACAGTTTCAGCCGGCCGTAGTGGCCGTAAATAGTTTCAGCTTCCTTCTTTTTTGCGTTACTGTGGCAACTTTTCTACACTGTTTTGCTCCTTTTCCATTTTCTGCCCAGTCCCTGAAGAACTCGCCTGAGGTCAGAGCTGCCAGGTTTGCCAGGACAGCCGGACCTGGCTATCCGTGGCCGTACACTTTGCCTAAACTTTCCTTTACCTCTGTCCCACTCCCTCTGCTGCCTTTTTCTCTGAGCAGTCCACTTTACTTTTCCTCCACTCGCTCGCTGCCGTGACTCACTGCTCCTGCCGTTGCCATGCCAACCGGCCGACTCCTCACGCCCTCCTTGGTGTTTGCAGTTCACTCCTGCACGGCGTGTTGTGTGTCCACCTGGAGATGAGGGGAATGCGCGCTTTCACGTTGCCATAGTTTCTGCAGACACTGAGCCCCTCTTTGAAGTTTCATGGTTACAACCTCCAGAGCAAATGGTAGTTTGGAGAGATTGTTTCTAAAATTAAGAGAAGTTGAAATAAAACTTTTCTTTTTGGTTTGATGAAATTTTTCTTGTAAGGCAGCTTTGCTTCAACATTTAGAATCTAGTTCACACGTTCATTCTGCAGCAAGGGTCATGCTCTATACAGTTTGCACAAAAACTGCATCCTGATGCAAGTTGACACCTTGTGGTTTTTGCAGGTTTCCTCAGAAAATATTCAGGTTAAAAGTAGCATCTTTGTCAGTACAGTGTTATCTACTTTACCAAGTCTACAAGTTAGGCATGGTTATGACAATGATTATGATCTTGTTGCATCTTCCATCCAGTGTAAATGACTTGAATGTAAAGTTGGAGTCAAAGTACACATGCAAGTGTAATTTCTTGCTATTCTTAAGCATCGCAACATGAATAATTTAGGTAAAAGAACAGGTAGTGATCAGGTACAGATTAAATGCATTGACTAACAAATCCCTAATTAGACATAAAACCTTTGTAAAAGTGTGAATTATAGCAGTCTAACACAATGCAATAACCTCAGATCAGTTTCAAAAGGTTGTAAGGCGTCGCCTCATAACAAATGTCAGGCTTGGTGGTCGATGGATGGTTGTTTGAGCTTGTTTTGCACTGAGAGGACTTTGAAATCTCACAACTATTAAGCAAATCATAAAATACCATGTATAGAGAATTATCCAGTACATTGTGAGGCCATCTGACAGCTGCAGTTTGATGTGAAATTGGTCATCAAGAAGTCACTAATATCAAACATGGCAACAGATCTGCTTCTCTTTATTGATAAAGGCTTGCTATCTAATCATAAGAGGGAAAAGAACAATCAGGCTCAGATGTTTCCTTTTACTGTTAAGTTTCATCAGCTAACAGAAGAAGTGGCAATGGTTTAGTGTTGACTGTTTGTGTTCTGTGTCTGTAGTTGCACGGCTACAGAGGCAAAGACCCAGTTGGCCTCCAGATTTTTATTGGTACCGCAGATGAGCGCATCCTGAAGCCTCACGCCTTTTATCAAGTTCACCGGATCACCGGCAAGACGGTCACCACCAACAGCTACGAGAGGATCATCAACGGCACCAAAGTCCTGGAGATCCCGCTAGAGCCAAAGAACAACATGAAAGCCATGTGAGATGAACCCAACAATATCGGTATAAAAATGCCTCCCCCAGGTTTGCTCACAATGCCGTCGTTTCATTTTTCCTCCCACAGAATCGACTGCGCTGGCATCCTGAAGCTCAGGAACGCCGACATCGAGCTGAGGAAAGGCGAGACGGATGTCGGCCGGAAAAACACCCGGGTCCGACTTGTGTTTCGCGTGCACATATTTCAGCCTGGAGGTCAGGATGTCTGTCTGCAAGTGGCCTCTCATCCCATCGAGTGTTGTAAGTTATCAGTAAATGTATTATTTATGCTTTTCATGGGTTTTCTGCTGGTTCTTAAAACCTGCCCAGTGAGGTGTAGCTAAAACTTAAAGTAAACCTCATTACCTACATTCAGATGAAGTTGGATTGGGGCTGATAGCCCAGGATCCAGAGAGTAAAACGTCTCTTTATGCAGTCAGGGCTTCCATCCAGCTGGTGGTGGCTGCAGGTACCTGTTTGTATTTACTCAGTTCTGAAGTCTGTGTTTGGGTACATTAATGCATGTGTGCACAGAGTTATTAAGGTGCTGGATGTAATCTCAACTCAAACAAAAGGTCCCTTATCCACCTTTGATCAACAACTTGTCAGGTATGATGAACTGCCTGCCATGTGCTTCTGTTACTGACAAAAGTCATGACTCAAAAATCTCTTTGCACTGCTTGCGTCTCATTTCGTGGAACAATTGTTGCAATGCTGTGTTTGCTGCAAAACAGATGAGGAGTGATGGAGCTGCATGAGTCTCCTGGCATCTGTTGTGCCGGCAGATAAACACACTGAGTCAGAGCAAGCCCGCCCATGTCATCTTCTTTGTTTTTTGTAACATTGTAAGGGGAACTAATTTATTCAAAGATCACATGGTTGTCACTAAATACAACTTCCTTTAAAGAGAATCACGCATAGCTATGTAACCATGTAATAAAGTCTGAATGGACTTTTCGGATACTTTGGATTTAAAAATTGTGTAATGATGTAAGAGAAAAAAACTTGTAGTTTTTTCTTCTGTTGAAGCTATTCTATTTTTGATTTAAATGTATGGCTGGACTCAGTGTAGTGCTGGAAGATGAAACCCTGCTTCACCTCACAAGCATTTTGAATTTAAGAAAAAACAGTGCTGCCACCACCATGTTTTACAACGGCTGTGGGGTTTATTTAGTGATGTTCAGTGTTATTTTTGCTGCATATTAACTTTTTGTCAACTTCAGACCACCTTCTTCTTTGTACCTTTGTTCATTGAGATCGCTCGTAGCTTCTCTGCAGATTTAGATTTTTTTTGCTAAATAATATAAGGAAAATCCACTGAATCTATTTATATCAGATTAATAAAATACTCTGTAAGTGATAATGACAAAGAAAATGTACTAGTTCATAGAATTAGCTTGGGGAAGGGGTGTTTTCAACTTTGTCATTTAAGCTGAACAGAATATTTTTACATTAACTGTAGAAATAGTTTTAAGAGGATTTGTTTTTTTCTCACTGAACAATTCTGTGTCAGAGGTTAAATATAAAGAACATAAAGTTTCTAAATTAGAAGCTAGAGCTTGTTAAATAAATAGCTATAGCTCATCTAGCTGTACCTAAACTAACCCTAATTAAGCTAGCTCTATCTAGTTTACATTTATCAGACTTGCAAACAAAATACTTCTGCAGATTATTAGCTTATGTGGGGCTTTTTCATTTTTTAAGATTTGTACCTTTTTCATTTGAGTTGTACAAACTATTTGTGACATTAACTGTTCTTTTTGTTAAAAGGATTTATTTTTCCTCAGTGGGTAACCATGACTAGGTTAAAGAATATAGACAAGTTTTTTGTGCAGCGTGTTTAGACTTTTTAAAAAGACTTATCAGACTTTCTTTAGCCCCTTCCTATAAAACAGTTTAACATCTAAACTGCAGAGACTCCTCTTGATAAGTAGCACAAGTTGTGATTTGACTCATTTAAATTGCTACTAACAGTAAGAGCGATGACTTTGATTATTGAATGACTCAGCATAATCTCTTTATTGTAAACCACCACCACTTCTGGGTAAATCTGTAGATAGAAACCAGCATTGAACATGTTAAAAAACTGTCATTCAGATCACTATCTAAAGAGTATTTTAATCAATAGTTTATGCTTAGATTAGTTTTTAATGCACTGCATATTAGTGTGGTCAAAATTAATAAAATAAAAATGCTTTGTTCAGATGTGCTCTCATGTTTGATCTGTCCGCAGACATGAATGATATCTAATATGCAATCGTATAAATCAGGGAAGCAAAGGAAATCCTCCCACTGGAGAAAGTGACTGTAGTGGAAAGGCAGTAAAAGTTCCACACCACCCCTCTGTGTGTCCCTGCAGCTCAGCGTTCTGCACACGAGCTTCCCATGGTGGAGAAACAGGACATGGACAGCTGCTCCGTCCTGGGCGGCCAGCAGATGATCCTGACTGGGCAGAACTTCAGCTCCGACTCAAAGGTCATCTTTCTGGAGAAGACCCACGGTGAGTGTCCGAGAAAAACCAGCTCCATGCCGGAGTCTGTAAAATCTTCACGGCCCTTCTCTGTGCTAGTTGCACAATGTTGTGTCACATTAGTGCCGCAACCAGCAAGCATAATTAACGAGTCATTGTGTTTGTGCAATAAGTTCCTCGCTGTTGGATTTCTTTTCATACCCGTCGTTATGTAAAGGATAGCATCAGCTATTTGCATGATCAAGAGGATGATGGTGCAGCCTCGCTTCCTATTGCCCTTCAATGACTTCCATGATGTCTTATCACTCAAAGGGGCCTTTTGTTGCACGGTTCATGATTCTGTGTCATGTAAAACCCGCCACCTACATTTCTGATAAAAAGGATTTCAGTTGGTTTTTATGAGCAGCGAAGATCAGTCGTAATGTCATTGTTCCCTTTACTCTAACAAGCACCAGCATATGGTTTGAACTTTGTTTAGAATTAGGTTTCCTTGTTTCTGCTTGCATTGCTCTGGGCTGTGTCTCTATTTAGCACAGTCTGTTTAGCTCTAGGTGACAATAGAACAATTTGCAGGTCTGAACAGGAGTTTACATATGTTGATCATTGCTTTGATTGTCAAATTAATATTGGTATTTTTACAATGTATTTGACATGTTCTTATTTAAAAGGACATAATTTTCTATGGTTTTAGTTGTAAATATAAGAATTTGATGAACAAGTTTAAATTAATCTTGAGTTTATTCCAGACTCTCTCAAAGCTAAACCCTACCCAAGCAAGTTGCACCTTGACTGCAAACTTTGTACCCATAATCAAGCTTTTGAAAAAGTCCTGGCTCAAAAGCTAAGAATAAGCAGAACTGATAGGTTATTGAAGTGTGATTCCATATTTTAAGTATAACTGACAAATTTTCAGTCGCGTTAAGGTCAGGATTTATCCAGACATTTAATGCTAGTTTGATCAGAAAAAGGACAGCTGACATTGCTGCAGGTCCCACACATCCTGGTCACAAACTGTATTGATTTTAACCTTTAGGTCAACAAACTTAGCTTCCAAAGAAAACATTTCACCCAGAAAGAATTACAAGAAACGCTTTCCAATCAGAAGCTACTCCACTGGAAATCAGTTGGATGAATGACATGTACACATTCATTCATTTTCTTTTTTAGCCTCTGATGAGATTTCTGTTAGCCCTTTGGTAAAATACTTGTACATTGTTGATACAGTTCACACTATCTGACACTTACACACAGTTCCTCATCTTTCATCTGCTTAGAAAAATCTGCGTTTTCACGTATTTTCAAGTAGTTGACCTGAAATGTAAAAAGTTAGTGCAGAGCACAGAATTGATCTATAAGCTGACTGGTTGGTACAAACTATGGCAGTTTGGTTAAGATGAACAAAGCCTGATTTCAAAAAAGCATAGTGCAGGCAAATATTAAAAATCTGGAATGACTTCACCAAATTCCCAACCTTAACACCATTGATGTTGACTATGCATAATGTAGTTTTAGGTTTTGCAACAAACCGAAATGGTTTGAGAGGATTCTGATATGATACCAGTAGCTTGTTAAAGCATGGCTACAAAAGGCATGCAGTTTAGTTGCAACTTCTTAATGGAAAGTGAACCAACATGTCAGATGGGTGCATGCATAATTTGGGCCAGGTGTGTTTTATATAATTAATCAGTCGTGCAGTTTCTTGTTGTAAAACATTCTTGCAGTTATTTGCAGATCATATATTCATTCATACCTGGAAAAAGTGAACCTCAAATTAATATGACATCTATATGCTCATGATAAGTCTGATTGAATTTTGATTATTTTAGTTAGTTATCAGATTGATGTGACATGCTTCTTTTATTTATTTTTTTTTTACATCCAGAAACTTTTCAGTAAACTTTATGTCCTAGTTACTGGGTTTTTTTTATTTTTTATCTTGTCTGGGAATCCCTTCTGCTGTTTTGCAAGACTCAACAGACACTGTGAGAGGAAATCAGAAGAGAAAGCTTGCAGAGAGGGATTACCTTTGTTTTGGAGATTTTCTCTATGACACAAAGTTCTGAATAAGTCCAGCTGTGAAATCCTTCTGAATGAGTGACAGCTGCATCTGGCTGGAGCTCCCCTGACTCTTGTCTTTGGACGGAGAGAGCTTTATTTGGGAAATGACTACATCCCGAGCCAAACCAAAGCAACTCAGTCTCTTTCTCCAGGTCCATCAGCCCTCCTCCCATCAGAGGTAATTGTTAGCGGAGGAGGGAAGGATTGGGGTCTCCCTTAGGGAAGAACTGCAACAGAACGCAAACAATTCCCCACGCCAACAGAGTAGTAGCGTCATCACATTTTGCAGAAGAAACGGAGAAAGTTTCTCATAAAAAACAATAAGACCAAGAAAAAAAAAAGTTGGCAGTGTGTGTGGAATCCCCCTCTCTTGCTGACTCATTTAATCCATGTGTTTTCAATCTGTAGCTTGAGGGTTTCCCACCTAAACCTGCAACACTTCTGTGTGCTTGCACTCAAATGCACCACTTGTTTTATAGATTAAATCTCCTGTGTAAAATCAACTGTTACTACATTAAAGCCTGCAGTTTTTCTTTTCTGCTAGCTAACACTGGCAGCAAACAAACACATCTTCTTTAGTCATATTGCTGAATGAGTGTGTTTCAGATGACCTACAAATACTCCTTCTAAGTGTGCTGGTTGGTGGGACAGGAAGTGGTTTCGTCTATATTTTATCTACAAGCACAAGCTGGATCTTGAAGCTAACGTATAACCAAAACAATATGCAGTTTTTAATGGAGGATTTTATTTATTAAGGGAAAAGAAAAAGCTTTCCAAACCAACTGGTCCTCTGTGGAAAAAGTAATTGTCCCATAAACGTAAAAACTGGTTGTCCCACCCCTGCAAGCAGCAACTACCATCAAATCCTTGCAAAACACTGGCAATTAGTCTCAGTGTGGAGCAATTTTGGCCAATTTTTCTCTGCAGAATAGTTTTAATTTGACCACATCAGTGGGTTTCCAACGTCAATGATTTTTTTGATGCTGAAAACCTTAAGTTTGTCTTTTTGAGTTGTTGGAGGTGGATTTGCTGGTGTGCTTTAGATCCTTGTCCAGCTGTATAAGATTGAGCTTTAGGTCACAAAGTGATGGCTGGGCTCTTCCTTCCCAATCTATCGCCACCATTTTTGATTCCTGGAATGACGTTCTGATAGTTTTATGGAAGACATAAATTCTACTTTAGTCTCAACACTCCACACACTGTCACTTAGATCATCTAGATTATTTTTAGGAAATGTGTTTTGTTTTAGTCAGCTGTGGTTTTTACTTCAGACCTCCCACAAGGATGTTATTGTCGCATCACATTTAATGTTCAACATCTAACCTGAGATTAGATGTCGTTTGGGTTATTTTATGACCTCCTGGATGTACCATACCCTCATCTAGTCAATTTGGCAAACCAACCAACCCTGGGGAGGAACACCACTGTTGTATTTTGTTTATTGGAGTCCCCAAGTCATGGAAAGAACTTTGTAATCATTTCCAGACTGAAAAATGTAGTGTTAAGTGGCATGAAGTGTTTTCATCATGCCCTCGTAGGGCATGTTGCCAGAACGGTTCTGTTAGGTAATTTTTTGATTCTACAAGTCTGATAATAGGACTGCGTGTGGCTCGTGAAAAAGGCCCCAAAAATGTGTGATTTAATGACATAACAAGAAGGGGAAGCACTTTTTTTCAAATGTGGCCATGTTAGTTTTGATATCTTTGTCAAACTGATTTTTGTTTTTTATTTACTTGGTTATCTGTGACTTATGTGTGACATTAGCTTGATCTGGAACATTTAAATGTGATCAAAGAGGCAAATGTTTTTTCCCCACCACTGAAGAACTACTTTTCAGAGAACAAACTTCACAAACTCTCTCTCTACTTTCTCTTCTGTCCCAGATGGCCAGCAACTCTGGGAAATGGAAGCAACAGTGGACAAAGACAAGAGCCAACCTGTACGTATTATACATCTGTTAAATAAATAATTCTTCCACCTATAGGACATTTTCTGTCAGAGCTCAGCTATACGTTTGTCATTTAAAGGGATAGTTCACAATTTATGAACCATCTGGATTTATGCTAAAGAAAGAGGCCAATAGACTCGTCTACCGTTTGTAAGACATTAACCGTATTTAAAAATAATTTTGCAGAGCATGTTGTTCGTGGAAGTGCCATCTTACCGGGATACATCCATATGCCAACCTGTCAAAGTGAACTTCTACGTTATTAACGGCAAACGGAAGCGCAGTCAACCTCAGCATTTCACCTTCACCCCACTGACATGTAAGG